AGCATGATTCTGCAGGCCCTTTTCTGTACCTTCTCTAGCTGACGTTGTTGGGTGGAGTTGAGAGAAGACGACCAGGCTGGTGACGGTGTGTGTGTGTGTGTGTCCCTGATTAATTATTCAGTCGGATTGAGTGAGACCCGAGAATTAACGCTCAAGGAAAAAGTAGAGTTTTCTTTCATTTTTACCAACCTTAGTCGCCTCTGTCTCTATCCCCCCACCTTCTCCTCTCCCTCTTTCACTTACTCTACACTTGACTATTACCTGCTTTTATCTCCCCTATCTCTTCTCCTCCTCTAGCTTCTTCCTACATCATCTTTACTTCCTCCCTCCTGTTACTCCTTCTCCTCTTGCCATACTTTACCCCCTCCTCTCCCATCTCCCATTGGCTTCTCGTCTTCCCTCAACACCTATTCCCCCTCCCTCATATTGCTCCCTTTTCTGCTTTCATTCCTCTTCCATTCTTTTCTTTTTACTTAGCCGCTCTTCCTGTTTCCTTTTCTCTTGCCACTCTTCCACTTTCCTCTTACCTCTACCCGTATCCCCAATTAAGAGTAAAGTGGGCAGGGTTGGCGCGTATATGTACTCAGAAGGTGAATATCGATTACCCACCAACTTCTTCAACTCCCTTGCCCTCGTTCTCTCCACCAACATCTACATAAGACCATGTATTTAGACGTACACATAGCCCCACCTCACATCCCCTTCCGTCTCGCGCTAATAGCTTTTCTAAACGAACTCTCACACTTATTCGCTATCACTAAATTTATCCCGTTATACTTGTAACTTATTTTCTGAAATCTTGAGGAAATCTTTTAGGTAACATATAAAGAAATATCTTATTACTAGTATGCGTTTCATTACGTTTTAGTCACCCAGAGAGAAATTTACCCTCAGCTGATGTGTCATAGCAATTAAGTACAGTATTTATCACGAGATTATGTAAGGTAAGATTTCTCAACCGGATAATTTGGCACTGGCTCGAGTAAGGAAGGCAGCCAAGAAAATGGAAAAGAGAGTTGGTGCCAGTACACACCCTTGTTTAACCCCTGTTTGGATGGGGAAGAACTCAGACTGGGTGCCAATGTGCAGGACACTGACGTTCATGCCATCATGGAGTTGCCTCACAATGGCGATGAATTTTAATAGACAGCCAAAACGGCTAAGGATCCACCAGAAGGCTTTTCTGTTGACCGAGTCGAAGGCCTTGGTTAGGTCGATGAAGGCCATGTACAGGTCACGACGCTGTACTTTTCCTGTATCTGACATACAGCAAAGATCATGTAAGTGGGAGTACCCACCAAAGCGTGGGTAGCTTACAAGAATTAAATCTAAATTATTATGTATAAGTAGGTGGGTTATGTATTGTGGTTAGTGACTGTCCCTTTGGTAAGAGATCCCTGACAGTAGGACAGTCAAGGCAATATTGTATTAAAGGGTGTTAGCGCTGACACAGTTACAGAGTTTACAAGAAGAGAAAGTGCAGGTCATGCCCCGCCTCAGATACTTACAAAATAGGTTATATCAGCTCGGGGTAGTGTCTGGCACTCTCCGGTACACTCTGGCACTCTCTTGTATACTCTGGCACTCCCTGGTACACTCTGGCACTCCTTAGTACAGTCTAGCATTCCCTGGTACACTCTGGCACTCCCTGGTACACTCTGGCACTCCCTGGTACACTCTGGCACTCTCTTGTACACTCTGGCACTCCCTAGTACACTCTGGCACTCCCCGGTACACACTGGCACTCTCTTGTATACTCTGGCACTCCCTGGTACACTCTGGCACGCCCTGGTACACTCTGGCACTCCCTAGTACACTCTGGCATTCCCTGGTACACTCTGACACTTTGTATACTCTGGCACTCCCTAGTACACACTCTGGCACGCCCTGGTACACTCTGGCACTCCCTGGTACACTCTGGCACTCTCTTGTATACACTGGCACCCCTGGTACACTCTGGCACTCTTGTATAATTTGCACTCTCTGTACACTCTGGCGCTCCCTGGTACACTCTGGCACTCCCTGGTACACTCTGGCACCCCTGGTACACTCTGGCACTCCCTGGTACACTCTGGCACTCCCTGGCACTCTGGGTATACTCTGGCACTCTCTTGTATAATCTGGCACTCTCTTGTATACTCTGGCAACCTGGTACACTCTGGCACCCCCTGGTACACTCTGGCACCTCTAGTACAGTCTGGCACTCCCTGGTACACTCTGGCACCCCCTTACACTCTGGCACCCCTGGTGCACTGTGGCACCCCTGCACTCTCTTGTATACTCTAGCACTCCTGGTACACTCTGGCACCCTAGTACAGTCTGGCACTCTGGTACACTCTGTCACTCCCTGGTACACTACACTCTCTCGTATACTCTGGCACTCCTTGGTACACTCTGGCACTCCCTGGTACACTCTGGCACTCCCTGGTACACTCTGGCACTCCCTGGTACACTCTGGCACTCCCTGGTACACTCTGGCACTCCTAGTACAGTCTGGCACTCCCCTGTACACTCTGGCACCCCTGGTACACTCTGGCACCCCTGGTACACTCTGGCACTCCCTGGTACACTCTGGCACTCCCCGGTTCACTTAGCACTCCCCTGTACACTCGTTTTGGCACTCCCTGGTACACTCTGGTACACTCTGGCACCCCTGGTACACTCTGGCACTCCCTGGCAACTCTGGCACCCTCACTGGTACACTTTGGCACTCCTGGTCACCTCTGGCACCCCTGGTACCTCTGGCATTCACTGGTACACTCTGGCACTCCTGGGACACTCTGGGACTGCCTGGAGCACTATGGCACCCCTGGGACACTCTGGCACTTCCTGCGACACTGGCACTCCCTGGGACGCTCTGGCACCCTGGGACACTGGCACTCCCTGGAACACTCTGGCACCCCTGTGACACTGGCCATAATGCTAACCTAATTTCTTTAATTGTATCCTGAGTTAACTACATAATAATCCTTGGTACACTCTGGCACTCCCCTGGTACACTCTGGCACTCCCTGGTACACTCTGGCACTCCCTGGTACACTCCTGGCACCCCCTGGTACACTCTTGGCACTCCTAGTACAGTCTGGCACTCCCCTGCACACTCTGCACCCCTGGTACACTCTGGCACCCCTGGTACACTCTGGCACTCCCTTGGTACACTCTGGCACTCCCCGGCTCACTTAGCACTCCCCCTGTACACTCGTTTTGACACTCCCTGGTACACTCTGGTACACTCTGGCACCCCTGGTACACTCTGGCACTCCCCTGGCAATTCTGGCACCCCCTCACTGGTACACTTTGGCACTCCTGGTCACCCCTGGCACCCCTGGCTACCCCTGGCATTCACTGGTACACTCTGGCACTCCTGGGACACTCTGGGACTGCCTGGAGCACTATGGCACCCCTGGGACACTCTGGCACTTCCTGCGACACTGGCACTCCCTGGGACGTTTGGCACTCCCTGGGACACTGGCACTCCCTGGAACACTCTGGCACTCCCTGTGACACTGGCCATAATGCTAACCTAATTTCTTTAATTGTATCCTGAGTTAACTACATAATAATTATTCTATATTATTATTATTATTATTATTATTATTATTATTATTATTATTATTATTATTATTATTATTATTATCGTTATCAACAATTCTCAGTCACTTTTCTTTTATGACGTTTCCCGCGTAAATGAACTGTATTGTTATTATTGTTATTGTTTTTGTTATTATTACGCATCTAATTGTTAATACGACAACGTCTTTAATCTCATTGATAGTCATTTAATTCCCGCTTTTAATCTCATTCATAGTCATTTAATTCCCGCTTTTAATCCCATTCAATGTACTTTTATTAAGTCTGCCTTTTAATCTCATTCATAGTCATTTAATTCCCGCTTTTAATCCCATTCAAAGTAATTTTATTAAGTCTGCCTTTTAATGTCATTCTCTTAACTGTTTATTTATATACGTTTTCTTTGGTATTACAATAAGAGAAAACTCAACATATATAGGGGTAGCTTATTTACTTTTATTATTATTGTAATGTATAGGAATTATTTTCCTTTATCCTCTTCGCCACTGACCGGCCTGTTAGCCGCTTGGGAGGCCTGTCACCTCTCTGTTAAGCACTGTGGGCATGTACTGGGTCTCTGATACGTACTGTTGGCATGTACTGGTTTTGTTGCGTACTGTTGGCATATACTGACTCTCTGTTACGTACTGTTGGCACTGTGGGCATGTGCTGGCTCTCTGTTACGCACTCTTGGCAACTTAGTAAACAGTTTAAGGCAATTAAGGATTTAACCCTTGACGCCCAGGCTTAGGCATGAAACAGTGCCGTAGAAAAGGTGAGGTACTTCCCCGTCTGCAGTACTGTCACCCCGTCTGGAGTATTGTCACCCCGTCTGGAGTATTGTCACCCCGCCTGGAGTGCTGTCACCCCGCCTGGTCTCCGAGATATGCTAGGGACTGTCAGTTGATTGAAAATGTCCAAAGTAGGGCCACTCGACTGTAGCCTGCTCTTCAGCACCCCAGCTACCCTGAGAGATTAGAGCGCCTGCATCTATCTATCTGTCTATTACTAAGCAGCGGCAACCACCCAGTAAGGTAATTATCATTATTGTAGTCGGGGAAGTACTTCGTCTATATTTTTTCAAGTAAAGTTTTCTGAGTTTAGGGTTTAATTAATTTGAACAGTTTTATATTATTCTTAAATAAAAACAAATGTTTTAGCAATATTAAAGTATTTTTTGTGATATAATTGAGTAAATCAGTAATGTTGGCCGCCCTGATTCGTCAACCCATGGCTTTTTCCCACGCTGAAGAATTTTGAGTACTGTACAGTACAGTATTCTTATTTCTATTTCTAAGTTTTTCCTTATTGTTACTTTTTAACTTACGATATAATTTAAGTGACCCCCAAAAAATTATTAAAATCTGTATGTACGTTTAAGTTTGGATTTATTTTTTAATCTTCCTGACGGACTATATAAAGAGGTGATTCACCACCGGCTCGCAGTATTCATCGAGACACAGAGGGAGGAGGTGCTGCCGGTCGTCTTTCTCACCTGACCGGTGCTGGTTTTTTGTTAAATCAATAGTAAGTTTTATTTGCAGTTTATTTATAGTGGTTAAATCTATACTTGTGCAAAGGTCAATATATTAAGGTTGTTTATTTGTCGATTTTGGACCAAGTGGTTTCAAAAGGAAATAATTTAAATGGACCTTTAAAAAAATACTGAAGATGCACAAGGCAGTTAATTTATTACGAACAAGCATAGGTTAATGGCCGTTCACGCTCGTAAACACGTTGACTAGTTACTCCGAGAATACTATTTTGGCTTGTGCTTTTATTTAAATTAATGAAATATGGTTTAGTTTTGGTCACCGTACGTAAGACTTTGTGAATACTTTAGTAACGTTCATCATTCTTTAGTAACGTTCCACATACTTAAATAACGTTCATCATAGTGTATGTTTTGGTCTTACATGTTACAGGATTGATTTAACTTATGTATTGAAAGTATGTTACAAGTATTTTTTACAAGGTTTTTCCTTTCTTTACAGATGACGGATCCAGTTGGTTGTTACTGTTGTGTTAAGGGCCAGTTTGCTGCCTCAGTGGTCGTCAGTACAGCAGCTCATTTATTGAGGTAAGAAAGTTTGTTCTATAGTGAAATGAAGAGTTTGCCATCTTAACTGTGGTCTAGGGTCGGTCGATCGCGTCCGTACACAAGTACTGGTTGTTACACTGTTGGCATGTCATAGCTGTTACACTGTTGACATGTACTGGCTACGTACTGGTTCTGTTACACACTATTGGCAAGTACATTACTGTAGCCACGAAAGAGCTCACACTTGGTGCCCAGAGTTTTCTGGACTTGTGGCATAAATATAAACTTGTATTGTCACACCTTGCTTGCCTATAAGCTGGACAATGGCATAAACCAATTGGCTTTCCTTTACACAATATGCCGATTTTTTTTTTGGGGGGGGGTTTAACTCTAAAACGGATTTTTCCCCCATGGAAATAAAGGTCAAATTTGATTAAATCTCGCCAAAATATACACAGGATAAACTAATTTCTAAACTACTAGGGCATATTGGCTGAAACTGTAATTTTACCCTTGTCTTAATTTGTCCAGTACATTGTTCCCAGTAAAGTTATTACAGGTAACTACACTTGTATTCTATATAAACTTTATACCTAGTGAAGGTGGATTACCTCCGTCATAATGGTGGAAGTTAAAGTTTTTTAATTGATATTTATTAAACTTTACAAGGGACTTTGTATACCTGTAGTTGTAAAAAAATGCAATTTAATGTTCTGGGTTGATGGCCTGTTGATGTTTGTAAACATTCGTTGGATTGGTCCGACTCATAATTGCAAATGTTAGTTTCTTAAAATTGTAACTTAGTTTTGTTTGAGTTACTCTTGTTTTTTAAAGTTGTGGCCTTCTTTCAAGAAATTGGGGAAAGTGTTAATGCTACTATGCCTTTCTCTTAGCAACAGCTCTAAATATAATAAACATCTTTCACTAACAGATAGCGTGCATAATGTTCATCAATAATCTAGTACTGTACAGTTATATAAAACATTGTAGGGGGCAGTTAACCAGTATAATCAGGGGGATGACTACATAATACTGTACACTGTATCCAAGCTTAATTGTCGAAAAATCAGTGGTATTGCATAAGAGCTACGGTAAAATTAAGGTTGTGTAACTGAGTTTTCTCCACTTTTCATATTTGGTGCTTAAGTTCTGCTGTGTAATGCTTCATTTATGCAGTAAACTAGTTCACAGGTGTCCCTCAATTTACTAAAAAAAAATTGTTCCTGGAAATGCATTCATTAAGTGAAAGTAATTTATATATTACTTTATTATTACAGTATTTTGGGGGTTAAGTTCCTGAGGGAAAATCTTTACATTCATGTTCAGATAAAAGTGGCCTCAAAATGGGATTTGTTTGCTTTTGTATAGTGTAGACATTTGAAACTATTGTTTATCAGGCATATGTACTGAATATTGGGGGATACCTGCATTGATGTAGCATGTACTGTACTGTATATAGGCAGTGTACTGTAGGTATACTGTTTATTTTTTTATTTGTACAGAAGTTGTAATAATTATTCATTCCAGGATGATGACTTGAAGATGGAGGATGCAAGAAATGATAGTTTTCTTCTGGTGAACTCTCCCTGCACTGCACCAAAAAACGTCAGGTTGGGTACAGTACATGGCTTCTCTCATTGTGGTTTCTTCACTAAACTCTCGATAAAGTACAGTAATTGTAACCCATGGACTGCCTTGTCGTTTGTCTCTTGTTCCAAGTGTAATTTCAATGAAGTATTCTACAATACTAGGAATTCACTAATTCATATCGGCTACACATCAATATTTTGTGGGATAATCATTATTGGGAAACAAATTATTAGCTGATGCAATTTTGATGTCTGTTTTGGGTTAAGAAATTGCTAGGTAACATTTTTAATACCTGCAAGATACAGTAATTACGGAAACCAGTTAGTCTGTTCACTTCTGGAAATGTCACTCTGCCACTGATCATTGTCTTAAGGTTCTGATTGGATAACATGGCAATAACCTCTGTGCAGGTCTGTCTACAGCACTTAATTATACGGTGATGAATATATTATCATGCCAGACAAAGTAGCTTTTATTTCACCTGAAGAGAAAAATAATCTGGTAGAGACTGTCGCCGACGAGAAATATTTTTAAATACTGTAGCATCGTAAAAGTACATTAGATATTTTATTTGCCGATATTATCCCAAATTAGAAATAAGAACGGCTTGGTACAGTATCATAACTCATAATGAACAAGATGGGTTGTTGAGGTTGGAGACGAGTTCTTAACAAAATTAGTCAAAATGTTAAATAACTCCCTTTGAAAATTATATTTTATTAGAGAATGAGTAAATAATGAGTAAATGTTCCAAAATAGGTCTTGAACATTAGAAAAAAGTCAGTGTTGCTTAGCAATATGCGGGTTTTCCATTAGTCTCTAACAAGAAGTAAACCTTAAGCTGATGCAGACAACTCAAGCCAATAAACAATGGCTGTCATGAGGAGATTTTAATATCAATAATAAAGGAATATCAATTTAGTAACACTTGCTAGTTAATTTTTTCTGAGCTTGGTGAAGTTTATCACGGTTGCCTCGCTCCTACTGACCTAAAGCTCCCCTGCCTCGACCCTTACTGCTTTCATTTTCACGCCCATAGTAATTTCTTTCCTGGGCACTTTGGCTGGTTTTCCAACACCAGACCAGATGGTGGCTGGGTTATTTAACATGAACAGACTATTAACAGTAAGTACTGTATATTGGAACAAGCTTCAAGAAATCTGTAAGTCTATTACTAAAGCTGAGGTACTTGTGAATAAGTTCTCTACCATCAGAGTAAATTGCTTTATTTAAATACAGTACAACTGTACTGTATTCTATTCAACTGATATTTTGCTTTGTTTATTGTCTGGCTTTGCTGGTGAGGCTATATATAATAGTGACATAACCGTTTTACCTGCATGATAAAATTGACCTAAATTATAAAAAATCTGTTCATTTTAAATCTGGCGGCAGATTATTGGGAAGCTTTGAATCTGGTTGTGAATTATCATTAAGGGTGCATTACTAATTTATTGATAGTTCAATTACTGTACTAGATTAAGTGGATTAATGTGGTACTTCCATAGAGGATAAAACCTTCAGTTTAGGGTCATGTTATACAATACTGTATATTAGGATAAATTAGTTTTGTGAAAATATCTTGCTTGAAACCTTTTATAGGTAATAACTTGGGACTTTACTTCCAGTAGGTTCTGGACCTTATTAAGGAGAGGTGTGCACTCTGCTGTACCACTCATCTTGTACTGCTGTACCAGGATGGCAAGTGATTCACAACACAACTAAAGGAAGCAAGTGCCAAGATACAGCCCAGACCCAGCCTTCCACCCCTCCTCTCTACCTCAGGTAAAGAATATTATAACAAGTTCAGTTGATGTAAAAATATACAAAAAACAAGATATTACATATAAAGTGGCCTCGGAATGATCACTTACAGGGGAGTAAAGTTAATTTATTGGCCTGTCAAAATGAACTTTTCCAACACTCGGATTGGAATTTCTCTGCCAGTTTAGCCTTAAAACCAGAGACAGTCAAATTGCTCCGGGCTATTCAATGACCATACTAGATTTATTGGTGCTATAAATTTCAAGACAAAATAAAGAGTAATGGAGAAATTATACTTAAATTTATATCTAAGAGAAAATGTGTGAAGGGTTTAGAATATGGAAAGGGGATTGTGGGGCTACAATTGATGTACAGTCTTGGTCAAAAGTGTTGAACACTTGACAGTATTTGGCATGTAAGTACCTGAAGATCTTGGGTATTAAGTAGAGTTTTATCCTATTTTGTGGTTCAGGCATAATATGATTAGTGTTATTAGTATGTCCCAATCATATAACTCGGAAGTAGATGACAGATATTGCTAAGTGTTCAACACCTTTGACCCCGACTGTACCTATGATCCTTGATTGATGACAGGAATGTCATAACAATTGATCAAAGTTAAAAGCCCCAAAACTGGACAATGGCAGTAACTTATAACTTCTCGACCAATCGTTTAATACCTCAAATTTATAACCCCAGTAAAAAATTATTGGTCTTGTTAATGCTTGACTTTAATTCAGTAATGTACATAAAGTTACCTACAAGATGTGTACTCTAAGTAGTTTATAAATTTGGTCCTCAAGTGTTAAGGAATTTTGTCTAAAACACTAAAGTACATTTTGTCATTAATATAATTAAAACATTTTTATGGTTAAAAAAATTGAATATTAATTTTACATTTTATTTTGTACAGAAATGTTCTGAACACTGGAGTGCTGTGCTGCCCTAGGCTGTGCTTACTGGCCACTGCCCTGTACTTGCTGCTGCCCTAGACTTCCCTGTACTTGCTTGCTACTGCCCTGGACGGCTCTGTTTGCAGGTGCTACACGTCTCTGGACGGCTTCCATGTTTCAGCGTATACACAAGTTCTTGACTATTCTACTTGTGTGTGTTGGCTGCCATCCAGACATGACTGCTCTCCTGACTGTTTCATGTTTGCTGCCCTGATGGTTCTGCTCATATGCTGGCTGCCGCCTGGACGGTCTTTTTTTTTGCCTGTGCATGGCTACGCCCTGACGGCCTCTGTTATGTTCTCTGCAGCGTCTGACTACAAATTTATGAGGCTATTGTTTCCAATAATAAATGTCTAGAAATGTCATTGTCTTTATTAATCCTTTTCTAGCATTAGTATACAGAGTACATAAATAATATACAGATGAAAATAAAGAAAATCAAAAATAAATAAATATATAAAATATATATATATATATATATATATATATAATAAATATATATATAACAATAAATATATAAAAATAATATACATATATATATATATACTATATATATATACAGTATATAAATAAAATATATATAAATAAATATATAAATAATATATATAAAATATATAAATAATATATAATATATATATAAATAATATATTTATATAAACAAATAAAACAAAATATATATAAAAATAAAATAAAAAACATATAAATTAACTAAAATTAAAGAAAATAACAAAAAACATGAAAAAAAATTGCTAAAAATACAAAAAATAGCTAAAAATACAGAAAAAATGGCTAAAAATAGCAAATTTTGAGCGAAAAATGGCGAAAAAATTGCCTTATTTTTATCCTTAAGTGTTTTTTGAGTTTGCCATTGCCAGGACTAACGTTGAAAAAATTTGGTAAAGGATAATCGGAAGAGTCTCCGGAGGAAAACTTTCAAATTATCATTCACCAATAATATTAAAAAAATACAAGCATAACGGACTACCTGGACGTGGGAAGAGTAACTCAGTAGGGGCCCAGTGAGTTGCTCTCCCCAGACCAGGTAGTCCGTTATGCCTTATAATACACAGATGCCAAGCTGGAGCTCTTAAGAATGCCACAAATGTTTTACCTCTAAAACCACACAAAAATTTATTACTCAAAATTTGCCCAGGAATAATTTAGGCCATTTTTGGACAAAGAATATTTTAAAAGATATATTTTTGGACTTAGAATATTTTTAACAATGAATTTTTGGACATAGAAAATTTTAAACAATGAATTTTTGGACTTGGAATATTTTAAACAATGAATTTTTGGACTTAGAATAATTTTTGGACATAGAATATTTTAAACAATGACTTTTTGGACATAGAATATTTTAAACGATGACTTTTTGGACATAGAATATTTTAAACGATGAATTTTTGGACATAGACTATTTTAAACGATGAATAAATTTTGGACTTGCAATATTTTAAACGATGAATTTTTAGACTTAAATATTTTTAACAATGAATTTTTGGACTTAGAATAATTTAAACGATGAATTTTTGGACTTATATTAGTTTAGCACATCTAGACCTTAATTGATAAATACAAAAATATTTGGCATAATCAGATTTAATACATCAAAATAATTCTGACATTTCGTTGCTACTATAATATGCAGTCTACTGGGGTATTTACACTGTACCCTCGTTAAATAGGATCGCTGTAATTCGTATTTCGGTTTAGTTCGTACGTTTCTCAAAAAATTAATTAAACGATTTGAATTTGGAATGAATCTGAAATAACTGAGTGGTTCAAAAAGTTGCCTTGGCTGTCATATACAATATTATATTTATAATTATTGTGCAAATATAAATAGTTTTAAATGATAATAAATAATGCAAGGAGATCGAACGATATTCATAAGTGAATTGCTAATCGAAGTAAAACCTCATTGGAGATATAAAAGATGAAATTTTGGAGCTGGTTTGACTATAGTGCATTTTTTATCAGCTGAGAAGAGATGCCCCGCCCCCTCCTCAAGAGTTACAGCTGATTGGCTGTTTCAAATCTGTTCGATTTCGTTCTGAAGTAATGATGTACAGTATTTCTAAATGAGTTTATTCATGATGACCGTTTCTGACGAGAAAGATATTTAGCTAAATTATATAAAGATACATACATTAATTATTTCAAACTTAAACACGTAGAAAGTTTATCAGAAATATTATATAAGAATTAACTGTTAAACTCTGGTGGCAAATTGACGCTTTCGGAGGACACATTTAATATATACTTATTTTTACCCACAATAAGACACAAATTACGTATGTCTTCTCAGATGGGAAAAAACACACTATAGGTCCCTCTTCTGCCAACTAACACAACAAAACAAGGGAGAAACACATGGAACAAAGGAACAGTCTCCTGAGTTAGGTAGGTTGGGGATTAATCTTCTTGACAGCAATGGACCCCAGACCTGATCCTCAATACTATTACACTTTATAGATATCATCAAAATATTATCAGTTCACCTCACAGTTAGTCTTACATTTATTTATTACCGTATTATTAACTTTATTATTTCTGTTTGTACTGTACACTTAAAAAATATTTGTTTGTACAGTAATTATAAATAGAGTATTTTATGTGGTAGTCAAGGCTTGGTAACTGAGTATGTTTGTTGGTTGATATAATGAGGAACAATCTGAACAAATTGAACAGAAAACAAATGAATAATGAACACAAAATGAGAAATTGTCAAATAATGTCAAAATATTCGGAACTCGGTTAGTTTATATTTTCAGTAATTTGGTGGACCACAAACTACACTATACCCTCATTCAGTTGACAAAAAGAGACTCTGGGTCACCCGAATTATTGAGAATACAAATTAACCGAGTTCTGAATATTTTGACATTATTTGACAATTTCTCAATTTTTTGTGCTCAATTATTCATTTGTTTTCTGTTAAGTTTGCTCATATTGTTCCAAGCAACAAACATACTCAGTTACTATAGCAGCACCAACATTTCTTTACAACCTGTCCTCATGTCATTCATTGCCTACCTCTAACTCCTGTATCTCTTGACCCAGTTAGTTTCCTCCTTTCTCTCCTGAACCATATCAGTTTAGCCTCCAGGTACTGTACTTCTCTCTGTTTCCAACCATCTTCTACGTCTCACACAATCTTCTTTTCTCTTTTTATCTCTCTCTCTCCACTTCATCATTCCTGCCATCAACCACACTCAACGGAACATCTTTCATTTTGGCCCAGCGTCTTGGTACACTGTCCCTCACTGGCGGTTTCCTAGCTTCTCAACTCACAAGAAAATGCTTCCTTTACATTCAGTTCCTTCATAATTCCCACACTCTCCTTCTTGGAACATCCACCTTCTTCCTCTCCCTCCATCTTTAAGTAACACACACACAAGCAACCTGTTCTCATTTCCTGACCAAAATGTAGCCAATCTGGGTTTCTGTGCCACCTGCCTTAGGCCTACATCGTCAGCCTACTTGCCCTATTCTTAAACACATGTTACATACCATCCCCAAACTCAAGTGTTCTTTCACCTTCAGTATTCCTTATTCCAAAGCCTTTCCCACCACGCACACCTTCCTTACCCAGCGCGACAAATTTGGACAATAAAAATAGTTTGTTTTAATGGAGATCACTACATTATAAACTGTTTATCTCCTAAAACAACATTAACTGGCATGATTATAACAGAATAATTGCCGCTTAAGTCACACAACAGATTTTACGGCAACATTAAATGACGCTGAACTAATAAGATAGAATTCTTTAACGAACAATAAAATATATTTACGGTTTAGTTTAACCTAAATGGTATATATATGTGAAGTACCTGAACGGTTCATCAGTTTCACTAAATCATATTAATTCTAAAGTCCTTAAAAACACAGAAGAATATAATTATGTTCTTTAATTTCAAATCATATTGTGATGGCATTCTAAGTTCAGGTAAATTTAAAAGATAAATTTAGCCAAATTATACCTCGATAAACAGTGAGAAATAAAGGTGTTCTGGTTTATAATTAAAATAAGACAAATTGTCAATCTTCCAGAGCCACAGCTAAACACCTCATTTTAATATTGACCTCCACCTCACACTGGCTCACACTACAACAGAGTAACACCTGTGATGAAACAACATTATCAGGGAAAAGATCAAAATATTTACATACACTAGACCACTTTAGATAGATAGATATACATTTATTATGTAAACTTATTATATAAATTTACAATTGGTTCAACCTGCATATAGACAATGTAGGTATACAGTTCAGCATGTATATAGCCAATACAGGTATACAGTTCACCATGTATATAGACAATATAGGTATACAGTTCAGTATATTGTATTAGCCTCTGTCACATTAATATGATATAAATATGAGCTAAGGACATATATTCATTAAATACATTCAATCACCCAGACTATTGAGTATACAGCTACATAAGGATTTGTTCTGTCACACCTCCTAAGGTGTACAGCCCATAAACATTTATTCTGTAACACTTCTAGGGTGTACAGCCCATAAACATGTGTTCTGCCACACCTCCTAGGGTGTGCAGCCCACAAACATTTGTTCTGTCACACCACCTAGGGTGTACAGCCCATAAACATGTGTTCTGTCACACCTCCTCGGATGTGTACAGCCCATAAACATTTGTTCTGTCACACCTTCTAGGGTGTACAGCCCATAAACATTTGTTCTGTCACACCTCCTAGGGTGTACAGCCCATAAACATTTGTTCTGTCACACCTCCTAGGGTGTACAGCCCATAAACATTTGTTCTGTCACACCTCCTAGGGTGTACAGCCCATAAACACTTGTTCTGTCACACCTCCTAGGGTGTACAGCCCATAAACATTTGTTGTCACACCTCCTAGGGTGTACAGCCCTCAGTGTGGTAGGTTATTTAGTTAATGACCTGTTGAAGTGTGGTTACCTTCAAACCACGAGTCACCAGACTCAAAAGAGTTCAGCCCAGTTCACAGCCCGACACAATGCCCTAAAGTCGTGTCATGAGACCAGCTCTCCGGGCTGTACCTCTCTCTAAATATATCAGCTAATTACAAGCCAATAGCTAATGCTCATTAGTCTGTCAATACCAAATAATTGTACAGACATTACTACCCAATATAACTATTAAATCAACACGTGTGTTTTCATTAAACCAAGGAACAACGAGTGAAGAGAACATCACCTGTGTGTCTTGTTTAACTTACAAGCTAAGATAATTACAAATACAACCCAGGACAGATGTGACGATTAAACTATCAACCAATCTACGACTGTATCAAAGGTGAGATGACCCGATATCTCACTCAGCTGTATCAAAGGTACCAGCGACTAACCTACACTCGTTCAGGCAAGTGTTAACAAGCGAGATAGTTTGGTATCTTACCACAGCTAAAACAATATAGACAATGCAGGTATACAGTTCACCATGTATATAGACAACACAGGTATACAGTTCACCATGTATATAGACAACACAGGTATACAGTTCACCATGTATATAGACAACACAGGTATACAGTTCACCATGTATATAGACAACACAGGTATACAGTTCACCATGTATATAGACAACACAGGTATACAGTTCACTATGTATATAGACAACACAGGTATACAGTTCACCATGTATATAGACAACACAGGTATACAGTTCACCATGTATATAGACAACACAGGTATACAGTTCACCATGTATATAGACAACACAGGTATACAGTTCACCATGTATATAGACAACACAGGTATACAGTTCAGTATATATTGTGGAAAATGTATAATTCCATGTAATAATTGTGAATTGTAAATAAAACCTGGTAACAACTTGCCCCGTGGAGCCTTGAAGCAACTATCCTCATTTATTCAGTGAGCATTATAGAGGAACAGTCCTTAGTGTTCCTGACCTGCATCTGATAATGGCTGAACCACATCATCAAGGTCAAAAGTAAGTAAAAAAAAATGGCTTTGCAATAAACCATCAAGTGCCGTTGAGGACGTCTGTGTTGTGACCTTCTGAATAATGCCAAGTTAAACCTTTTAAGGAAGGTCTTCACTCCCTGCAGTAGTTTGTAACAGGTGGGTCAGACCTGCACAGTACAAGACTCACACCACCGACTTAACACCAAAATATTTATCATTGTCACCTCAGAGATCCACTACATCTTCACACAATAATAATTCTTGCCTTTTCCACAATAAAGGCCAGAGGGAAGATGGAGTGGCAAGAGAAGGCCACCTTATAGTTGTGTGAGATCAAGACTCATTTATCAGTGGCATTAATGTTAAAGCTCACTATGGCCGAGTCAACATTAAATTAGGATTCACCTTTGTATAATTTAACGTAGCAACGTCGTAATTACCAGTAATGAGCCATTTGGGGAGTTGGTCTGTTAAAACTGTACAGTATGGGAGGAAACTGTAGTATTGTACCTGCAGAAAACCTGCCATGTTTGGTAGTGAGGGTAACATCTGTCCCAGGCTGGGGAATGAACCCAGGACACAGAGATGCACCACTATAGATATACAGTACAGACCAACTCCTGATGTATCTGAGAGACAATCACCAGTGTTTTGGGATAAAAACAATTAACAATATTTTCTTGGTTCTATATCACTAAAGTGGTCTAGTTGGTGAATATATTGGACATTTTCCTGCAAATATTTGTATTCCAGGTATTAATCAAATGCATTGTCAACTGTCTATCATGGTTAGTACAGTAGTTCTGTCTACAGTACATATAAGACAGATATACTGTAGACAGATGGACAGAAAGATGTAGAGAGATATACTATATTTCCCACCATATAAGACATATTTTTAACCTAACAAATGTCTCCATAATTCACCCTACATCATATATAACTGTATACATATACACCAGGCCAAGCTGTGTTATTGTTAATTTTCAACTCGTAGTTTTGGGTAGATATACGTAGTTTTATTCACTTTTTTAACAGTTACATGCATACACAAGCTTTCCCAGACTTAGTCAAAAAATTATTATCAAAAGGTAAAAAAACACACAATAAACTTTTATTACGTCGGCAGGAGTCAGCCCACGAGGGGGGAGCACACCCCTGTCTCACACATCTTTATTGAAACAGTTGTCAAATGGCATGCAGTATTTTTTCTTTCCTCTTATTTATTATTATTATTTTTATTCATTCCTCACATTGGCGAGGGTCAACTGTACTGTACAGGTTATGGAACACATTGCAATTTTTCTCATTTAAATATTTGTTCCTTTTATGTAAGTTTAGTTTAGGTGAACTTTCTTGAGACTATAAACCTTACATGCTATATCTGTGGTTGCCTTTAATATGGTGAGAAATACAGTACAGTAGTATAGATAGATAGAGAGATAGATAGATAGATAGACAGATAGATAGATAGATAGATAGATAGAGATAGAAAGATAGATAGATAGAGATAGATAGATAGATAGCCTGAAAGTTAGACAGAAAGATAAAACAAAATCATCACCATCCAAATCATACAGCCATTTTCCACACCATCTCTTGCAGTCTGTCGTGTCAGGTTCTAAGATCATTTCCTACAATCTCTCTCCATGTCATTCTTGGCCACCTACCACTGGCTCTCCTCCTCACCACATTTAGACTCATACACCACTTAACCCAGCTGATCTCATCCATTCTCCCCACACTCCCGATCTCGGTCCACTTATACGTAAATCTTGGCCGAAACTCTCAATACCCAGCCGTCCTCTTAGCTCTGAACGGTGATTCTTATCTTTCAGTGTCACAGTACACATCCACCTCACCATTCTCATTTCAGCTCACTCAAGACTTCATATGTCATCCTTTTTAACTGCCCATGTTTCACGAATATATAACACCACACTTCTCACACCAGTTGTATACATTCTTCCTTTCATGTGATGGGAAAGTCCTTGTGCTGACAATAAAGACAAGAGTTCCCTAACCTTCCTCCAGCCATTTATGACTCTTGAAAATGAACAGCACCCCATCCAGCACTGATCATATCACCCAGGCAGCAGAACTCCTCCATGACTCACAACACAGCAGCCTTCAGCACCCCCTCCAGCACTGATCATGTCACCCAGGCAGAATTCATCCATGACTCACAACACAACAGCCTTCAGCACCCCCTCCAGCACTGATCATGTCACCCAGGCTGCAGAACTCATCCATGACTCAGAACACAGCAGCCTTCAGCACCCTCTCCAGCACTGATCATGTCATCCAGGCTGCAAACTCATCCATGACTCAGAACGCAGCAGCCTTCAGCACCCCCACCAGCACTGATCATGTCACCCAGGCAGCAGAACTCATCCACACAGTCCAGGGATAATCTTCAGTGATGAATTTCTTCAGTCTTGCCATGGACACATATTTACCTGCACATACATATCACTTACAGTCAGCAACATCTTGCAGTCTTCCATCCATTCCATTGCACTTCTTGTGAACCCACCTTCCTCACTCACTGCCAATATCTTTCTTACTGATAGCATAGATATAGATGAGACAGAAACTTGTATAGATAAAGACAGTCTGACAGATGATATAGACACCAAACAGACAGACTGACTGACATGCAGGTATTGAAAGACTGATAGAAAGATATAGAGATACAGATACATAAAGATAGACAGTTAGACATACCTAGAAAAATTGAGATATTGACATACCTGTAACAGCAGTGTCTCCATGATCCAGTTGTTAATTTGTCAAGGTTTAGACGTTAACTCATCTGTAACAAACAAACAAAAAAACATTTAATATACAAAGCAGTTTATAATACAAATAAATCCATGAATTAATAGTCATCCAGTACTGCAATTGTTTGTTTTGTGCAAGTTTGGTTTACGTGAATTTTCTTGGGACTGTAAAACTTGCATGCTTAACAAACTCTTGTAATTTTTGCCTTAATATTCCCAGCTAAATTAGTGGAACATTAATACAGTAGTTTAGATACATAGACAGGTAGATATAGATAGATTGGGTGATAGACAGACATAGAATGAGATGAAAATATAAAAATAGATACTGATATATATATATATATATATATATATATATATATATATATATATATATATATATATATATATATATATATATATATATATATATATATATATATATATATATATATATATATATATATACTGTAAGTTAGATAGATGGATAGATAGATAAACTGTACTGTATATAGATTGACAGACACAAATACTTGGGTAAATTTACATTTTCAACCAACATGGCTCTCGAGTTGAGCAATGTGTTTTTCAGATGGTTAAGACCAGCGGTTCCCAAATATGGGGTCGCAAGATGCATCATAAGGGGTCACATAGAGGTTATGGGGCTGATGAGGTCACCCGGGTCTTGCAGCGGCCACATGTGAATTTTTTTTTCAATCCAGGTGTCAAGGACTGAAGGACAAGGCCGACAGTTGCTGCGTCGTTAAGTCGGGTCCATAAATTATGACTAAGGGATTAACGCAGGTACTCGACTTGCCCTGTGGCACGTTTCACAACACAAGTTCCACACTCCTACATACTGTATACCTTTTAACTGTTCTCAGCTCAGTTCATTCTACTTCCCACGGAGGAGCACAAAAATGGCAGCAAATTTCAATGAGTTGCTTACCGAGTCTTTTGAACTCGAAATGTCAGAATTACAGGCTGACAATGAGGCAAGGGTGAATTTTGACGTCTATGGTGACATAGCAAAGTTTGGGATTACTTTATCAGATATTCAGCTGTTAAAAGTCGAGCTATCAACGTTCTGGAACAGACAACGATTACTGTAACCATATATAATACAGTACCTGTACTTGTATTGATAAATAGATTGACAGATACACGATACAGTAGAAAAAACAGACTGAGATAGGTATTGATAGATATACTGACAGGCACATAAACACAGACAGAGACACAAACACACATAAACAATAAGGTAGATAGAAAGATATAAATGGAAGACAGACAGACAGACAAATGACTCCTTTAGTTTACCTTGCCTTATGTGCTGGTGTGGTGGTGGTGCTGTGGTGGTGGTGGTGTTATAGTGTTCTACAATGTCAGCTCTTTGTCTCAGCCTGCAGTTATCATTTTCAGTTGTGATGAAGCTGCTCAATTTTGCAAGGTTAACTCATCTGTAACAAACAAACAAAAAAACATTTAGCATACACAATAGTTTATGATAAAAATATGTCCATAAATTAATAGTCATCCAGTACAGAAGTTGTTTGTTTTATGCATTTGGTTTATGTCAATTTCTTAGGACTGTAAACCTTGCATGCTTGACATAATCTGTTATTTTTGCCTTGATATTCCCAGCTAAATTAGTGGTACATTTAATACAGTAGTTTAGACAGATAGACAGGTAGAAATACAGTAGAATCCTAGTTATCCGGCACCTACAGAGATTGAGAGGTGCCAGATTAACAGGTTTTCCCGTTAATTCAAACTCGCTCTTGGGATCCCCAATAAATCCTAAAATGCACAGTGCTACAGTCTGACCTCACAAATTCGTGTCTCAGAAAAAAAAACACTTCAGGATCTGGGTTCACAGTTTAAAAATTTAAGTAATTAGTGTTAATTAATGACCTTGAAATAATTAAAGATATTTAGAATATCTAAAAAGTCAATTATGCTGTGAATCCAAGTTTTAAATCACCTTTATATACATTCTCTAAATAATAAATAAATACTGACAGATATTGGTAAGCCATATGGATAGACATACAGTACATAGATTGACAGACTGACAAATACTTGTACTGTATTGATAAATAGATTGACAAATACAGGTGTATAGATAAAACTGACTGAGATGGGTATTGGCAGATAATGGACAGATAAATTGATAGATATACTGAAAGGCACAGAAAGACAGACACACGAACATACATAAGCAGTTAGATCAGTGGTTCCCAACCTGTTCCGTTCTGTGACCTCCAGACAAGATATGATAACTTCCGTTGCCCCAGTCTAAATCTTTCTTCGATGATACAAACTAAAAGTCACTGGAATGAGCAGTTGGATACGAAATTTTAATATTTTATTATTATTAGTGGTATATACGGTACCAGTAGCTACAGGGACAATATTAAATAGAACTACAACACAATAAAAGATTCCAAGTCATGGATCATTTATGCGAACAATATAAACCTCTGTTGTGTCTGCAGTAAATGCTGTGTACAGTATTATAATCTCACATAAATAAACTCAACTCCACAACAACTCGGGTACTCAAAACTATGGACGCTGTGCATGTGTGCATAATTTACACACAGACAAAAAGAACATTAAAAAAGTTAATTAAAACTCAGTGGGTTGGCTGACATTGGTTTTTGTCACCAATTGTGGCATCAGTGGTTTAGTCACAGCCAAGGCACAGTCGAGGCCATCTTCCACGTGGAGTCGATATATGAGTTTTTATTTGATGCTCAACAGCGTGAAAATATCCGCTTCACAGAGACAGGTAGACGAGAATGGCAAAGCACCAGGATAACCAGTTTGCTGATAATAAGGTAGCGGACCATTGCCACCCAGAACTCTGTCAAGCATCATTAGCTCAGATGGTTTAAACCAGGGGTCAGCAACCTTTATACACTAATTAGCCACATTGTAAATAAGAAATAAGCCAACAACCAGTGTACTTATGGAATGTGTATTAAATAAAACTTGAAATTGAGCATTAAGAAATATAGAATTAAACTTTCTACTGCACCGGTACTGTATTCAGACAAGTACTGTAATGGCATACGGAAATTTTGTTTGAGTATCCTAATGGGTGGTAATAAATACTAATACAATAAAATTATGTTTCACATTGAACAATACAGAGGAAATAGTTACTATGACGCGCATTCAATTCAATTGAATAGAATATCCTCTGCAATTTTTGTGATATCTGGTTCAAATTTAGTAAAAGCTACTGCAGTACCACAATTGCCTTTTTTATGACTGTCATTGAGCTTTAAGAGGTACAGTACAGTACTTGCTCTTTACACAAGTCAACACCTTAGTGTTACCTGATTCACATTTATTTTCTCCAAAGTCTAACAATGACTCTTGCAGTTTTGTGAATATGTTTCAGGATAATAATCTGCAGTCCAAGATCTACAGCTGTGCATCACCAAGAGCACAGTACTACCACATTGGAAACACCGCTTCTTGTCCGAATAGCGAAGTTAAGCAACGTTAGTACTGTACCTAGATGGGAGACTGCCTGGCCCTAAGAACACCACATGCTCTTGACATAAAGACTCTACTGGAAATAAGTATCTCATGGCTTTGTCTGCTTATAAACAAAAGGATTTGAAGCAGATTTTCAACATTAATTGATATAAGTATTTTATGTACTAGCATTGTCAGGTATAATTTACCAGTTTAACAAAGAGTATCAGATTAGGTGTTCCAACATCCTTATCTTACCTTATCAACTTAGCCGGCCGCTCATCACATATCTTAGATGCTATAATGCCCGCCACAAATATGAAGGTAGCAGACCCCTGGTTTAAACTCTGGATTTCTGCTAGGAGGGTCAAGCCATGTTTAGTTTTATTATGAACTCACATGGTTCAAATTACTCCCACGGTCAACAGGCTGGGAACCACTGACCGTTATATAGATCGAAAAATATAAAAAAGGAAGACCGACAGACAGACAAATGACTAACAGCAGCACATTTACAACAACTTGTCTTAGGAGTTTGGTGGGCACAAAGACTTCCTGTATAGGCTATAAGAGCTGTTCCTATAGTTTACCTTGCTATAGGTGGTAGTGCTGTGGTAGTGGCAGTGATGATAGTGCCATGGTGGTGGTAGTGTTGGTGATAGTGATGGTGGCAGCTCTTGTTCCATGCTCCATTTGTCATTTTCATCTGTTATGGAGCAGTTCAATTTCCCAAAGCTTTGTTGTAACATCTCCTGTAAGAAACAAAAATTATATTTACAATAAAAACGTTGGGGAGGTGAGGTTAGATTAGGTTAGAGCCAGACATAAAATGGTTTATATTGACGACTGACCTGCGGACAAGTTATTTGTTTCACTGTTTATTTTCTTACTTTATTTTCAACAAATAGTGAGTTCTGATATGATAATCATTTTTTGTGCAAATGCTTTGTTTTGTACATAATTAGGCACCTAAGGTGCACTACTGTGTCTTTCCGGCAGTAATGCAGCCGTGTTCTTTCCAACGCCAGTTTTATTTTCAGCGTAACGTGGCGTGTGAAGTTTGTTGTTGGTCTTGTGCTACAGTTATAGTGTTTATAAAGGAACTTGGCTTGAATATGCCAAGATCAAACCCAGTATTGTACTTTTCTTTATAAACATCTTACTAAGAAAGTACGTAATCACGGTGTTCTCCATACGTCTGTTGAGTGCCCGCACTGTAAATTGCCTTGTAAATTTAGAAAAAACAAGCATCAGAGGTTGACCCTGAACCTATCCCTGGTCCTTCCACTTCTAATTAAGGAATTGTACTTTCGGACATGGCGCGCCACAGAGTTTAAAACTACTGAAACATTTACATCTCATGATTTTGAGTCTTTTGAACCCCATTTACATGAGTTGGAAATGAATAGGATACGATAGGTTAGGATAGGAGAGGTTAGGTTAGTTTAAGCTAAGCCTTCCGGGGTCCCTGGCTAGAGGTTAGGTTTGGTTTGGTTAGGTTTGGCTTGGTTTGGTTAGGTTTGGCTAGGTTTGGTTAGGTTAGATTAGGTTTGGTTAAGTTAGACGACTCGTTTTCGTGTTCTCCCCCATCCCAAAACCCCGATTTCCCAAGCTCTCCCCCATTATTGATGGGGGGTCGGGGTGGGGCAAAAACGAGCAATTTCCAACAAAAATGAAGGTCAGATTCGATTAAAAAAAAAAAATACACTGGAAAACATTTTGGTGAACTACTAAGGACTAATGTCCGAAAGAAAAGATTTACCAAATACATTATTATACACACATATATATAAAATATATCAGTACTGTATACATTATGCGGTAAACAAAGATAAACAAAAGTTTGATGTGATCTGCTTTGTGTTGCTACATTTGACTTACTGTGTTGTGTCTATTTATTTACTTAACAAGGACATACATACATAATATTAACTTACCACGAAGGAGAGAGGAAGGCCCACATGACGACCAAGTTTATTGTTGTTGACCTGCTACACCTTGGTCGATTCTCTCGCTTATCTTTCAGTAATTACAAGTTTTCATGATAATTACTTTAATAAATTATTTTATTAATAAATATTACATAATATAAATAAATTAAACTCTAATTATAATGTTTAATTATAGACTAAATTCCCCCTAATGGTAATTTATTAATGCTAAACTAAACTTAAGTCAGTCGTCGGAGAACCATCACTTTGACAACTATAAATTCACTACTTTTATTTTCTTACTTTTTACTTTATTTATATTTTTTATTAATATATAATAGTATATATAAGCTTATGACAATAATAAACCCGTTATTTTAACTATTCATAATAATATTATTAATGGCAACTATTAATCTCAAACTGCATAATTATTCAGCATTAATTATTGAAAAATAATTGCTTATAATACACAAAGTTAATAATGATCAAATACTAGTTACTTATTATTAATTAATTCCTTCTTGAATTATGCATCTGACTCATCACTGCGTCCTGGGTTCATGTCCTGTTGGCCCGAGACACACATGAGAAGGGTGTTTGAATACCCTTCAGCGAGTTTAGCCTTTACTATCATGTCCTGTTGTACACATGTTCTACAATATTGGAGTTGTAATGTCAATAAAATATTCAACAATAATTTAAATACCTATACATTATCTATTCTGTAAGATACTTTTACTTTTATCCTCTTCGCCACTGAGCTGCTCGTTAGCCGCTTTGGCAATCGGTCGAGTCTCTGATACCCCCTGTTGGCAAGTACTGGTCTACTAGGCATGCACTGGCTCCTAGACATATCGGAACCTGCACCAGGGTTAGTCAAATCTAGCCGTAAATGAGCTCACACTCGATGCCGTCACAACGTTCTCCAGTAGATTTTTCCAAGAGTTCACAATTCTCAATACGAACAAATTTGCCCTCACGGTTTACTCAACTTGTGGCTTCTTCAACCTTTAGCTGTGACTCCTTGTGGGGTGGACGTCCGCCAGCTCCAGGTATGTACATTCGACCGAGTAGTGCCCCCTGAGATGTTTATACACTTCAATTAAGTCGCCCCTCGCCCGTCTGTAATATAAGTTTGGTAGTTGCAGGCACTCCAATCTCTCTGGGTAACTGAGATTCTGTAGAGCAGGAACCAGTCTGGTGGCCCTCCTTTGGACATGTTCAGTCAACTGACAGTCTCTAGCATACCTCGGGGACCAGACGGGGAAGCAGCTCACTCTTGAAGATCGTGACGAAGGACAGACCATCCAGATATCTAAACGACTTTCTTATAAGACCTACTAGTTTCATTGCCTAATTCACCTTCTTCTCACAATGGCCCGAGAACTTAAATTCATTGTCTGCATACACACCTAGGTCCTTTTCACATTTGGTCTCAATTAATGCAGTCTCTTCGTCTTATTGGGGCATGTGATACGTCTTCTTACTATTGGTGTGACCCAGGTGCATTCTTTTGCACTTCGGCAGCTCTTCACAGTCTGCTTGGTTCTTAATTTCCTGAAATAACTTGGCATCGTCCGCAAACATTTGTATGGAGGAGTGTATAGCTTCCGGCATGTCATTAATGAAGCGGACAAACAACAATGGGTCCAATACACTTCCCTGTGGTACCTCGTTAGTCACAGGTACACATGACGATTTCGTACCAGGTATCACCACGCACTATTTGCGGTCATGCAGAAAGTCTCTGATCCACACTAGAGCACTTCCCCAAATCCCGTACCCTTCCAGTTTAATTTTCAGCGTTTCATGGGGTACTCTGTTGAAAGCCTTGGCAAAATCTAGGTATATATTGTCGATATTTCCGCCTTGTTATAGAATTTCAGTCAAAACATCTTGTCCTTGATTAATTGTGTTAAGCAGGATCTTCCCGGCATAAAACCGTGTTGGCATTCCTTTACAAAATTTTGTAGCAAATGTTCTATCATGGCATCTCATGCGATGCTCTCTAGTACTTTGCACACTATACTGGTCAGGCTTACTGGTCTATAATTATTCTTAGAGTGACGATTGCCCTTCTTGAATATAGGACTCACATAAGCCATCTTCCAATCGTCGGAGACCTTTTGCTCCTACAGGCATTTGCAGAACAGGATCTTAAGGGCCTCGGCAAGCTCATTACACAGTTCTCTTAACACTCTGGGGATTATCATATCTGGGTAGGGAGTCTTTTGAATCTTTAGCCTTGACAGTTTATCTCTTATAACCTCGTCCGAGAACGAAATGTGGGTCAGCTGTGTGTCAAACCGCCTTTCCTCAAACGCATGAAGATTGTTCGCATTCTCTCTTGTGAACACCGATAACTGCCATCTTCAAGCCTCAGGTCCGATATACCTACACGCGTTCTTAATATTGATTTTGTGTAGTGGTAAAAAGCCTTTGGGTTTGACTTGACCTCACTAGCAATCTGTCTCTGGAATTCTTTTCCAGCCTTTCTACAATCTAACTTTGCTTGGTTCCTTGATCTGGCATATATCCTCCTGTCCTGCTCATCATTTGTCCTAACCCACGTCTCGAAATCCTGAGTTTTCTTCTTAACTTTGCCGATCGCCGCATGGTTCATGTGGAGTGGTTTCCTTGTTTTCTTGGAGGCACTGGGTTTGATCTTAGGTATATATTTGTTGATCGAATGGTTTACTTTACTGGCTATGATATTCAGTGTAGCATCTGCGTTCTTATTCCTTTGTAAGTCAGACCAATGTATACTCTTCATCTCCTCTCTCATCTCACCGTAATTTTCTTTGTAATATTTGAACCTGGACCTAGTTTCGTCATGAACCAAGTAACAGTTAAATCTGAAAGACGTTACGTGGTGACTGGTGCCAACTGGGGCTACATGTTCCAGATTGGCCACCATACCATACCCTCCTCGTTAGTTATGAGGAGGTCCAGCGGTTTGGATGTTTGCTCCCCTCTATAGTGAGTCAGATCTTTAACATGTTGGAATAAAAAATTGTCTCTCATAGTTTCGACTAAACGAGTGGCTGGAGTATTTAGGTCGTTTAGCGTGGATTCATTTCTCCAGTCGATGTCGCCATAATTAAAGTCCCCCATGACAAGTAGGTGGCAAGGGGTTCTGCACCGTTACATTGTCAATTAAGGTTTCTTAAGTTTATCTGGTTTAATACGCTACAGTTTGGGGATCTGTAGATATGTCCAACAATGAGTAAGTCTCTCCCCTTCAGTTTAATTTTACACCACTTTGATTCTTTGAAAACATCCTCTCCCCGCACCCTCACCTGGCTGGCTCTAAGGTCTTGCCTAGCATAGATAAACACACCCTTATTGCAAGTTTCCTGGAAAAGGTTTGTAAATGAGTCATATCCTTCTATATTGAACTCACATTCCTCCGGTTCGATTCTCCTGTTTTTATACAACAGTTCTACAACACTATTATATCGGGTTGATGTACCCTCAGTATTGTTACAAACTCCGCTCTCTTGTCGAGGGATGTGTCAATATTAGTGTACATGACTTTCAAGCCGGAAATTGTCGTCTGTAATGTCTCTGGTTTTGGTAGTGTCTCCTTCCCTCCTCCATTCTCTGCAGTTGCCTCGTTTATTGTATCCCTTGTGGTTTGTGGTCAGTTTTTTAGTTTAAATTTTTTTTTGACAAAGCTTGCAGTACGGTTTGCCTATTCTGAGTAATTCAGTCAGGTCTTGACACTGAGGGTGGTATCACTTCTTACTGCCACGCAGGACAGAGGTTCATACACAAAGAAATACATCATATTCATTAACAGTATATATATAGGTCAGATTCATGTCGGTGATGTCACTGTTCACTGCCACGCAGGACAGTGGTTCATATACATTGGACGTCATATTCTAATTGAAGACTAATCAGTGTGGGCTAGCAAATTTGTGGTCAGAGGCGACATTGTTTACATGGCGCTCGCCTCCTCCTGGGTGGGAGGTAGAGCAAATGGCGGGTGTCCCTTTGTTCACTGGTTGTGCTGGCGCTCTTGCTCTCACATGCACTACCCGCTCTGTCCTGTATGGCAGTGAACAGTGACATCACCAGCATGATGGCCAATCATGCCAGTAAACACGTTTGGACTAACACACAACTTATTAACTAAGTTATTATATTAAGTATAACATGTTGCAAGGCTGTAAACTGTATATAAAACTCTAGATACACCTCTGTAAGTACTCTGACGTACACCAATTTACACTGACCTGCCCATATGAAATTCCCAGAGTTACAGAGAGAGAGCTTCCGTGCCCCGCGTGGACTTAGGCCTACAGGTGCCAATGCTTACAAATCACCATATCTTTATTCTGCCCCCCACACATACGCGACAGAAGTGGCAGTCTATTTGGGGAGTCAACATTTCCCAACACTTCATTAATTCTGAAAGTTTCCTGAAAAAAAGCCTAAAATCCCGTAAAAATTATCCATGTGCCTCTAAAACTGACCAGCTTCCAGTACTAATATCCCTCCCAAAGTCGTCACTGGTAACAAAAAATAAGATATTTTAACCCCTACATCCTCAGCCCCCATTCATCTCAGCAGTTATATTCACCTTTCAATCTTACCTGTGATGCCTCATTACCATCCAGAGATCTGAGGGGATGCTGAGAGACAGAGAAAGGAACCTCCATCCCAGCTTATAATGAGCGACATAAACGCTTTCATATCTCACATCCAACACATCATTTCTCTCACACCTACCAGTCTCTCGCATCCAACACATCATTTCTCCCACACCTACCAGTCTCTCACATCCAACACATCATTTCTCCCACACCTACCAGTCTCTCACATCCAACACATCATTTCTCTCACACCTACCAGTCTCTCATATCCAACACATCATTTCTCTCACACCTACCAGTCTCTCACATCCAACACATCATTTCTCTCACACCTTCCAGTCTCTCACATCCAACACATCATTTCTCTCACACCTACCAGTCTCTCACATCATCTCACATCCAACACATCATTTCTCTCACACCTACCAGTCTCTCACATCCAACACATCATTTCTCCCACACCTACCAGTCTCTCACATCCAACACATCATTTCTCTCACACCTACCAGTCTCTCACATCCAACACATCATTTCTCTCACACCTACCAGTCTCTCACATCCAACACATCATTTCTCTCACACCTTCCAGTCTCTCACATCCAACACATCATTTCTCTCACACCTACCAGTCTCTCACATCCAACACATCATTTCTCTCACACCTACCAGTCTCTCACATCCAACACATCATTTCTCTCACACCACAGTCTCTCACATCCAGTCTCTCATAACCAAAACCTCACACCCAGACAGTACTCATACCTCAATTACATTACCGTATATAAATAAATGTACAGCAGTGTTCAGAAGTACCTGGAGAGATGTGTATTGCGAGCAGCTATGTAGTCGGGACTGATGGCGTTCTTGAGCTGCATAACCAGACCAGCACGGATGGATTCTACGATGGCTGGCGTTCCTCCCTCCTCGCGTGTTTCCACATCCTATGGTGCAAGTTAATATTTAGGAGACTGTGTGAAGATTTAGCACCCCCCCCCCCAAGCTTATTGAGGGCAGATTAGGTTAGGTTAAGTTAGGTTAAGTTAGGTTAAGTTATATTAGGTTATGTTAGGTTAGATTAATGTAAAGGTGCTTAATCAACAGATGAAACCCCCTCAAAAGAATAAACTTTTCTCAAACTTTCAAGGTTCCGAGAGGCATTTAAAAACTTTCCTAATTTTTTTAGCCTTTCAAAATCCTATAGAACGCCTATAAAAATAAGGACAATGAAATTATTGCCAAGGGTCACCTGCAAGTACTTACCAACAGAGAACCAATATATACCCAGTATTTGCCAACAGAGAGCCGGTACATGCTCAGTATTTGCCAACAGTGTGCAACAGAGCCAGTACATGCTCAGTACTTGCCAACAGAGCCAGTACATGCTCAGTACTTGCCAACAGAGACAGTACATGCTCAGTACTTGCCAACAGAGCCAGTACATGCTCAGTACTTGCCAACAGAGCCAGTACATGCTCAGTACTTGCCAACAGAGAGCTAGTATATGCCCAGTACTTGCCAACAGAGAACCAGTACATGTCTAATACTTGCCAACATTGTGTAACAGAGAGCCAGTACATGCCCAGTATTTGTCAACAGAGTGTAACAGACAGCCAGTACATGCATAATACTTGCCAACAGTGTGCAACAGAGCCAGTACATGTCTAATACTTGCCAACATTGTGTAACAAAGAGCCAGTACATGCCAGTATTTGTCAACAGAGTGTAACAGACAGCCAGTACATGCATAATACTTGCCAACAGTGTGCAACAGTACATGTCTAATACTTGCCAACATTGTGTAACAGAGAGCCAGTACATGCCCAGTATTTGTCAACAGAGTGTAACAGACAGCCAGTACATGCATAATACTTGCCAACAGTGTGCAACAGAGCCAGTACATGTCTAATACTTGCCAACATTGTGTAACAAAGAGCCAGTACATGAATAATACTTGCCAACGGTGTGCAACAGGGCCAGTACATACCCGGTACTTGCCAAGTGTGCAGCATAGAGCCAATACATGCCCACAACTTGCCAACAGAGAGCCAGTATGTCCCCGGTACTTGCCAGCAGAGCCAGTAAACGTAAAAAAAAGTACATGCCCAGTACTTGCCAATAGAGCCAGTATAATGCCCAGTAGTACAGGCCAACAGAGCCAGTACATGCATGCTCAGTACTTGCAAACAGTGTGCAACAGAGCCCATACATGCTTAGTACTTGCAAACAGTGTGCAACAGAGCCAGTACATGCTCAATACTTGCCAACAGTGTGCAACAGAGGCAGTACATGCTCAGTACTTGCCAACAGTGTGCAACAGAGCCAATACATGCTCAGTACTTGCCAACAGTGTGCAACAGAGCCAGTACATGCTCAGTACCTGCCAACAGTGCGTAACAGAGGCGTGACCGACCGACCGCCAGAGCGGCTAACATGCCGATGGTTGGCGAAGAGAATACAAAGCAAAGTAACGCAAAAAGGTATTGTAGTCTTACACAAGGTTTCGGATGCGGACGGGACGTCCCGGGAGTAATTTCACAGAAACAAGCTCCGAGACGCAGTTTGGACCGCAACGCTGGGTGGGGAGGATGTCTAGCTCGTGCTGCTGAGGAAACTGACTGTGCGCTTTCCACTTATTTATATTATCGTCTAGTGCACACAACAGCCCATTCGTATATTAAATGAACTAGTGCTGAGTGCAGGATCGACGTGGTTTAGAATTGTGTTAGTGACAACGAGGAAAATACTGGATTAACAGCTCCACTGCGGGGTGACACAAGGTCGCAGTTGCCGTAGCTCAGCGTTGAATGGTTGGTAAATAATATTCTATTACTTGATTAACTATACGTGTGCACTTATCATATATTCACTAGGTTATACAAAAACTGTCAAGGCGTTGAGGAATCTGAAGAAAAAAAACAATATTTGCAATTGAGATTAATGAACGCCAGGAATCCATCTTAAAGTACAGCTATAAGTTTGTCCTAAAACACAAGATTTCTCGTGCAAAGAGATAAACGAAGAACAGGACTTTTATTTTTTATTAATGCAGAAGACCCAAGGCCAAACCCAAGTATAAAACCTTACGATTTTAGGTGTAGATTTTATGAGCTGAAAGTATTTAGGCTTGGCTGGTTTATGCCGCCCAGAAAGTATTAGTAATTTACGTCTCCCCGGCTGTGTTCGTGATAGATTTTTAACATTGTTTTTGTTTCCCTGCTTCATAACCGGTGTGACGGTGGGCTGACCTGGTCTAACGGGGCACTCACTTCCCAGGAACAAGGAACACGTTGGGGTGTAAGGAAAATATGACGGCGAATCTGGCGTCTTTTGGGGGTAATTTTTTTCGCGTAAATGAAGGTGTTTTAACCTAAGCCTAAAAATAACAATATTAATTTGCCTGACGCCCTAGTTAACCGCTTTGAGTACGATGATATATTTGCCAAGTAAGATGACTGTACTCAAGGAGTTAAATCACTGTACTCAATGGGTTGTCATTGTGCAAAAGGGGTTAATAAAATCATCATACTCAAGGGGTTAAGTCTTTGTAGTCAACAAACTAATTATACTCATGAGGTTGAGTCATCGGACTCATGGAGTTAAGTACATTCCTTTATGAATCTCAAAAGTTCTTAAATTTAATTTTCCTCTTAAATTTATATACTGTATAATGAAGAACCATAAAAGCTAAAGTATTAAAATAACATCCACAATGGTGACGTTAATAAACACAGGAGATTGAATTATCACCTTTATATCATTCCCTCCTATGTTGGGTAAATTACATAGAATAGTGTAAGTATAGAGTATTTCGTTTAACACTGTACATTATGGCGAGCGGACTAGTGATCAGCACCCAGGAGGCTTTTGTCCTGACCTCGATTATCTCAGTAGCCTACACAAATATTGACATGGCTGAGCCTGAGCTCTCTTGAGTGGCACAACTCACGTGTACACTACACTATTAAATGACCATGGTGCAAATTACCGGTAAGGGAAAGCCCCATTGTGATCAGGACCATAAGTGTAAGTAGAGTCACAGTATAATAGTTGTCATTTTTTTTCTTTGTGGTATTTCGACGTGTACAGTTAGTGAGGTGGGAATTACACAGTGCTCGGAACACTTGGTACGGAGAAACTCAGTTTTCCAACACTCTCATTTGACGTTGTTGTGGAATGTGAAAGTGGCGGCACACAGATAGGAAATGTCTTAAGAGTACTACTACAAGTTCGGCTCCTTCCAAGTGGATGACTAGTGAGTGCCTGGTGTCTGGGTTAAACATTACTCGAGCTCTAATATACATTTGTCTGTCTATCGAAATTGGTTTAATCTAATCTAAATTCGTTAGCTGGATTAAGGCACACAAAAGTACCCAGGGTAAAGCGATATTTATGGTGTTGGAGCGTCGTATTAGTCTCGGGTTTTGAATATTAACGTGATATTGTTTAAGTATTCATGGCGCCTTTTGCTATATTTTATGTATAGTAATTCGTTTAAATAAAAATCATTTTACTCAAACTTTAGTGGCAACTTTCAGGTGGCTGTCAAATGTCTTTTTTTTTTCTTCTTTTCTTTGAGTTTACCCTTTGTATTATTTTACCTCTGTGTGCTTAGTGTTCTGAAATGTCTGCTTACGTAATGGTCACTTTATGTGTTCCAACCATTGCCTAAATTTGATTAAAAACAAGTAGGAGTCAAGGACAACTGGTGCTACTGTTACGGGCACAATCTAAAACTTCTTCACCTGTGCTACTTTTTAAAAAGTTTCCCCCGGGTGATTATAATGTGGTCGCAGATGTCTCCCGTGGAGTTTCCCCAGGAGTGAGATGCTTCGCCTTGCCTACTAGCCAGAGGAAACTTGCCTCACACAACCACCAATACTACCACACTGAGTCACTTCCAGAAAAAAAATACAAACTGACCTTATTTCGTAAATTTTATTCATCATCTGGATTTGATACAACTATGTCTTACACGACACAACGTACTCGTATATTACAATAAACTGTTTGTAGACCACTGCACTGTACGTCTCCACAACTGGAGTAGACTAAATGGGATTAGCTCTACCCTGGGTGGGAATCCATGGAGCCTTAGGAGGAGGGGGCAAGTGATGTGTTCACCCACCTCAAGCAACATGGTACGAGAGAGAAATTTTGGGTAACTTTTTGTCAGCCTTTCCAGACCTGACTAAATTTTTTTGTTTTTTTCCCCGCCCGAGGGAACAATTTCGAGCGCAACCTAACGGACCCCCAAGATAGTCCTAACGCACCCCACAACAGCTTAACGCACCCCCGCGACAGTTTAACGCACCCCACGACAGCTTAACGCACCCCCCACGACAGTCTTAAAGCACCCCACAACAGCTTAACACACCCACACGACAGCTTAACACTCCACGATAACTTAACGCACCCCCAAGACAAGCTTAACGCACCCACGGCAGCTTAACGCACTCCACGATAGCTTAACGCACTCCACGATAGCTTAACGCACTCCACGATAGCTTAACGCACTCCAAGACAGCTTCTTGGTTGTACTTGTTGACCTACACTTAAAACTGAATAAATAGCTTGAAGGCAACAGAAAAAAATACGATTTATATTTTTTGGCATGACACAAGTTGAGAATGTTTTTAACTTCTTGATTTAAGCAAGAATTACGAGCAAAATTATAACTTAAACTGAGACTTTACCTTAAAGATTAATTTACTTAACACTAACGTCGGAGACAAGATTCAGCTTGAGAATCTCCCAAAGGTAACCTCGTCCTGTTTAATAATAACTATATAAGTACGGTGTTATTATTACCATCATTATTAGAAAAAAGTAAAATATTGTCCACGATCTATTACAAACATGATACTATAGTTCAATGACTTATCGTTCGTGCGTGCGTGTGTGGGTGAGTGTGTGTAAGAGGGATGGATAACAGGCCTAACCTTGATCAGTAGCTGGGTGTTAACCTTACTCGGGGCAAAATGATGGTGTACAGTATACTGTATGGAGGCTGTTATAAAGGTACAAAGAAATAATGTTGCACCATTAAAGTTATATAATCCTTAATATTACTGCGGTTAATGGTATATGTATAATTTTTTGATGTGTGATATATATGTGTGTGTATATATATATATATATATATATATATATATATATATATATATATATATATATATATATATATATATATATATATAGAGAGAGAGAGAGAGAGAGAGTATGAACCACTCACCGTGACACTCTCAATGCACCTCGCCTCAACCTTCATGCTCACAAAAACTTGTCCACCTGCAAATACTGTCTGCCAGCCTCACACGCACTTACTTGTACTGCTTATGGTAGTCCATCGTGTCCAACGACGACGACGACATCTTCTGATTTATTGGTGAGTCCTACGATGGCTGTAGAGTCCAATCCTCGACGCAACTGAAGTCTCCCAAAAGAGAACCTGCACAAAATTGGATATTAGGGCGGCAAAGAAGTTGCGCTCAACCCAACACTATTATCTTGACTGTAAGTAGTGTGATTCCTGTGATACGGGGGAAACCCAAGACGACTAGCACTGACCCACAAGGCAGTGGGGCAATGGTTAGGAGGCGCCGGGGCATGTCCACACGCCGGTGGGCCTGCACGCCGTACTTCTTGGGCCCATTGCTGCTCCGAGATTCCCTACTATTTGGCCCCAAAGCGCAAGACTTAGTTACCGTGTGTCGGCCACGAAGAGGCATAATATGAGTGTTGGTGAAGGAGTGGCTGACAGGGGAAGACTTACACACACTGCTTACCTTTTCACCGTAAAGGTTAGCCAGCGGCTGCAGCAAGCGAGAGGATACACGCGTAGCATGCACCTCATGCTAACATTATGCTACTACACTAAACGCATCACATCACCCTGTAGGTAGGACCTACACACACCCAGCTTACTCCTGTACCCCACTATCCCACACCCCAGCAGGCTCCTCCCCCTTCCTCGGTCATTAACCCCGCTCTACCTGACTCCCATCTAGCTCGTATCTGGGTCCCACCTATCCTATCTGGCTTGGTTAAGTTAAGTTAGTGTAAGTTTAATTTAGGTCAATGTTATGGTGGCTAATTATGAGGTGATGCGTAAAAAATATAGATTCTGTGTATTAGACCCGGGTAGCCTACAGTAAATCCCCCTTCAGAGTGGGAACAGTGTGAGTGGTCATCTAAATTGCTAGGTACGGAAGTAATCACCTGTAAATTAGACACCCCAGCTTATTTCACCTTAAGATTAACCACCCCACCTAACCCTGCCACCCCCCTAAGGAGCGCTAGGGTGGTAAGCCATAGAACTTGTGATATAAATCTGTGCGATTATATGAGTGTTCGAGAGTGAAGGAGGGTGTTCACAGTACCATTTTTTTGACGGCGTGCCATTGGTCTGCTACCCCCTCCCCCAACCAGCCTCCTACTGGGTGTGTATTAGCTAAGTGGGTCCTGGCGGGTGCCATCTTCGGGCCGCCTACAGGCAAAGGCCCGTGTCGGACTACCTCAACAAAATCTTGACCTCTCTAACGTAAACAACAAATCACCCTCTCCCTTGGCTACACTTTTCGTTATTTTCGTCATTAAGGAGTTATTATTCTTTAGTTGTGTGTGTGTGTGTGTTGGGAATTACGATAAAAATGTTGGCACGGCTGAGCCTCTTCGCCAGCTAAGAGGCTCAGCCGTGTCAACATCGTTAATATTATCCACTCTATATATTCTTGTGGCTAAATGAACTGTTTTATTATCACTATCATTATAGGGCGGCGGTGGAGGAGTCATATTTGGATTCGTTGTT